GTCGTCACGAGCGATTCGTCGCGATGAAATGAGGGAGGGATGATGGAACAATGAGGAGGGGGAGGGCCAACTGTCGTTGATCAAAGCTCGAGCGGCCCTCAAAGGCCGATCTCTCTTTCTCTCTCGGTTGTCAGAGAAGTTTGGGTTGCTGTGGAACCTCTTTTCTTCGCCACGGACGGAAAATAAGCATCGGGAATCGGGTGATTGGACTAGGAACCCGATCCGGATCAAAAGGGAATGAAGTTGCTGTGATTCTCTTCGGGGAAAGAGAGCCGGTGTAATTACATCGGGGAGGGGGGAGAATAAAGGAGGAGGAGGAGGGGGACTGTTTCGAGATACTCGCGCGTTTCAGCCGTTGAAACGCGACACAGAGCCATCGAAAAGGAATTATTTCCGCGTTATTATCGGGTAAGGGAAGAGATCGACGACGAGAATCGAACTTTTGAAACGAGTAACAAGAACAATTCAGAGATTGTTTCGGGAATTTATGAAGCTCGTAAAACGCACCGATGAAATTCACGAAGGGGCAAGTATATATACTACGTCTTCTTACGTCGAAGGCGCTAGTGAAATTCGTTTCGAGGCATACTCGATCTCAAATTCATTTCGATAGCAGTAAGTTCGTCCAGTTGGCAGAGTTTCAGATCGAATAACCGGCCGGTTTCCCTTGCTCTAGATTTTCGATACATATCGCCAATTTATCTGTAATTCCTCTGTTTCTATTTCATTACTTTCGACACACTTTTTGGTAAATCTCGTTCCTACTCTTCCTATTCGTAAAATTGGAACTTTTTTCTCTAGATTTGCTTGGACGAAGCGTTTCGAATCGAAATTTCTCGAAAAATATCTCATCGAAATATCTTCGTCGACCGATATCGAGGATTGGATAAATTTGGAAAAACGTTGGTGGAAAAAGAATGGAGCTCTGACAAGGGCCTTGTTGTGAACGCGATATTATCCAATTTCAGGTTTCGTAACTATTCTAAACGCGTATAACAGTTGGACATAGTTTCATTGCACGGGCATCGGTCTGTTTATCGGTGAACAATGCCAAATACAGGGAAGGGATAACTTTTATACGAAGTATGCCTGGAAAGCATTCTAATTCCTGGTCGAGTATGTACGATCGCTCGATGGATGTTTTGAATCGACTCGAATCAATTACGATTCGAAAATTACGTTTCGATTTCCTCCCTCGATCCGTTTGATCGTACGTATTCTGGAAAAGCAGACGTTATAATACTTTGATACTAAATGTTTGCGAATATTACTAAATTTGTTCAATGAATTTTATTCATGGGAGAAATAGAAATGCTTGGAAATTACTAACTAACTCGAATTTCGACTTTCACAGTCGGATCATACCCTTTCATCCTCAAAGCATTGGAAAAAGGATTTACATCACGAACTTACCTCATCAATTTCGTGCAAAAAACCGGGGAAAAGAGCCAAATGTTTGCATTCAATTCAAAAAAGCGGGATTCTTGTCCCTATTTACACCAGATTTGGATTTCGATCGATCCCCCGTCTCCGTTCGTCGCGAGTGCCACGCGTTCGTTCTCACGAGAAAACAAAAAAGAAAAAAGAAAATAAGCGGATAATAACTGTCCTGTGACATTCAATACACGTGTTAGAGAATCCAACGCCTCCTACCTAGCCAAGTCCAATCTCTATTAAAACAGGGTCGCTTCGTTGCTTCGCTGCTCGAAGCTTCTCTAAAAAGCCCTCTGCAAACTCAATTACATCCCCCGTCATATAGTAATCCAGGAACAAAACAGAACCACCAAGTTTCCGCTTGTTCCATCGTTCCACCGCTTCCATCAGCCTCGCCTAACTGTATCTCTCTCGATCATACCACACCCACTTCCAGATCGAGTTAGACATTTATTTTGCAACAGCTATTAGCTCGAGATTGTTAAGATCCGTTTCCTCGTCTTTCTTGGTTACCGAAGAAATAACCCATTGAATTATTCAAGCCACCCCTTTCCTTCCAATTTCTCTCCTCTCGTATCCTATATATTCTCTCACAAGCTTCTCTCTCTCTCTCTCTCTCTCTCCTCTCGTCTTCTAACAATAGTAACGATATTGTATAAAACCGCATCTTTCAACAAAGAAACTTTCCTTCCGTTATAGACCAAAATATAGATCGTCAACGAAAATAATTAAGTAAATGTATCCAATAATAACGAAATATGATAATCGACGGTAACAGTGGTCAAAAAGAAGGATCGATGAAATGGGAGGAGAGGAATAAAAAAAAAAAATCTTAACGTATCCCAAAATAACAAGATACCACTACTACTAGCATTAAAAGACAATGGCGAAAAATTATGACGCAAGGTTGATATAGCGGGTCGAATGGAGCGAAAGAAAGCGGAACGAGGAGGATCTCGTATTCGAGCGTGGCAATAACGTGGAATACTTGGCCACTCGCAATAAGTTTGTCGATTGTGCCGATGCCGGGAGAAGAGGAAATTAAAACTTGTGCAATTCGGCGGGAGTTGGCCAGCTTTATCAGCCGCGGGGCTCGATGTTTCCGGGTCGAAACAAAGGCTCGAGGCTCTCGTTGTAACGAGAGAGAGAGAGAGAGAGAGAGGA